TAATTTTAAAAATTAAGCTGTGCTTTAGCTCCGTAATCTTAGCCAAAAACATAATCTTGTTGATTACAGACTGTTTAGGCACTTCCTCAGCAATAGTCAGATGCTAGCTGAACGAGTGCTAAACACAGGCTGATAGCCGAGATGCAGTTATGATCCTGTATGTGACATCAGGATGTCTCCAAGTTATTCCTTCTGAGAAACATTGCTTGTTAAAAGAGTTTTTTTTTCATTTTGTTTTTCTCCTTATAAAAAGTGCTCATTAAGCAAGGTTTGGCTGTATTTATGTGTTAATGATGCACAGTTTTTATGCATTTTCCATTTTTACCACCAGCTGTGAAAAAAATAATTTTTACTGACAGAAAGCCAACCCAAAGTGTTTGCATAAATATATTGCAGTAATTTGTTAATATGTTAAAATACCTACATTTAAACATTTCTTAGAGGACTGTTGTGGCTTCATATGATTTTTAGCTTTTATGTATGTTTTAATAAATGCTGGTGGCATTCAGAGGAATTTTTTTCTGTATTGGGTTATGCATAGTTGGAAAGGGGCATTCATTGAAGAATTAGGACGTAGCTTACCTGTTCTGTCTTAAATTGCTTCATTAGTTCCAATTAAAAAAGTTTTGGGTTAACTGCATATTAAAATCTATGTTATACAACTATTCACCATTCCAAATGATTTCTGCAGAAGTGGTATCTTATGGAAGTGATATTCAATATTAATGCTTGTTTATGTTTTAAGAAATGTTGATCACTTTTAGAAGAAGTCATGAGAGATTTCACTATAAATTAAATAAATAATAAAAAATAAAAGTACTGTAAGTCTGGGTGAAATGCAAAATATATATGGCATTAGAAACATATTGTATTAACTACAGTAATGCTGCAAACATTGATAAAGATTGTAAATTTGATGTATTATTACAGATTTTGTACATATGTAAATAATTTTAGTAAAATTATATATGAAATAGTAGGGTGTTTTTTTTTTTTTTTTTTTTTTTGTTGTGTGTGTGTGTGTGTGTGTGTGTGTGTGTGTGTGTGTGATGTTTTGACTATTTTTTCATAGCCAATTGCCAAAAGTAATCAAATTTTTAACATTTTGGTCCACTCACTATATAACTGCAATAAGTATTGTAATGGAATAACTATAATTAATCTATATATGTAACTGTATCCTGCCCTTAGATGTGACTTTAACCATATATGCCTTCCAGTAATTTCAAGTAATGGAATTTACTAGAGATTTATCGATGGCCAGGTGAAAACTATATGAGACTGAAGAGAGCATATGTTCTCAGTTGTTTTTGTTTAGTTTGGAGTTGAATATGGAGTATCGAGATATCCGTGAGAGCTTCTTCTTTTACATGCAGTTTGCATTGCATTGTGTTTAATGTTCTTAATAGTTTGAAGTGTAACTACTGATTGTACTCTGCAGGGTGATTTTGTGGAAAGTTCCTGAACTGTAAAGTGTTTCTTTTGGTAAAAATAAGTTTTATCTAGTTATCATTAGTTCTGTGTACATTCAGTCTATTACGAACCCATATGCATACAACAATATTATAAATTAAGTGTATTTTTCATTATATCAATTAGTTATATAATAACTGTATAAAATAGTAAGAAGCATATTTCTGTCACTCAGTTTTTTAAAGTAATGGAGGTAAAACTTGAATGGTAAAGATATTTTGTCATTGAATGCTTGCAACTGTCTATTCGACAAGCTACATGCATGATGCATTAAAACGTCCTGTGGCTTATCCAAGGCAATATTTTCTTCAATCATGTAAACATAACATAATTATCCAAAATTTTTAAAAACCTTGTACTAAAACTTGTAATATCAAAAATAAGGAGAAAATTACAATATCAAAAGGCCTACATTTATAATTAGATAAGATTTCAGGGAATAAATCATTTCTATCATAAAATATGGTGTATTTTGACTGCTATGAAATCTCACTGAACGTAAAATTTGGATGAAAAAAGATGTCACCAATCATTCCAGTTTAAATCAACAGAACTATCTAGTTAAGTAATAAAGAAATGTAAATTAGTGATATAGCATATAAAAATTTTTTAAAGGTACTTTTGTATTATTGCAGTCGCTTTGGGGGCAGCTTGAAACCAGAGAAAAAATATTTTATATATGTTTTTAAGTATAGATTTTAATTTTAATTTGTAATTTATCCTGCAAAACTACTTAAAAGTGGTATCACCCACATATAATTATTCCAGTCTACCACAGTCTTACCTGCCATTTTTAACTTTTCCAAGCAAAATTTAATTTGTTTTAATTCCTTAGTCCATAAATCTGACTGCTGTAGTAAATGGTAGATGACTATTTTCGAACCAATTACTGCTTCAAATGCCAACGTGTTCGTTGCACCTTTTTCACATTGCATTTCCAAAAAGGTTGTTTCCCAGAATACATCATCATCAAATGTGAATCTGAACATCCCTGCCTTTGTGTGCAAAGTATTATATTCTTACAGAAATTCCACAGAACTCTCTGCATTTGCAGGCAAATCCCACAAGCGCATATTTCAAAATTCAGGTGAAAACCAAATGTATTACAGTTTGCCTTTAGAACTTCTATTTGCAACCAAAGCAGCATGTACACAAATTGTGACATTGCTTATTCAAACCTACAGTTATCGATATGGTTACCTGAAGAATTGTTATGCGCATCGTTGCTACAGGTTGGTGACTTCTGTTAATGACTTCTACCAGGGTGGTTGCGATAATACTAAAGTACTAATTTAAATTGTTTATCATAGTTTTTCGTGTTACATTGCCATTATTTATCCATTTTCAAAGTCATGTATCATAACTTTTTTGATGTTCGGAAACTTTGAAAATCCTCCACTTCAAATAGTGTGAAATATTAATCATTTATTCAAAATGCGATTGAAAAAATAGAACTTCTATCTTTAAAAAAATTAATACTTATATGTTATCCTGTCCACTGTGAAACTGTTGCCAAGCAGTGTGGTTTAAAAGATTTAAATTGATACCTGCCTTCTACAGAACAGCAAGCATTGGATTATTTTTAATGTTACATAATCCTACCAAAAACATGTGAATTAATGGACACAATATGGTCAACTGAATATGTCTTGTAAAACAGTAATAGAGTGAGACAATTACCTGTGAAAAATTTAAACTCCGCATTCTAAATAAAGCATCCTCTAAAATTGGAGGGGCCTAAGAAAACTGTAGAAATCAGTGAAAGGATTTTTACAAAGCGGGTCAAATTCTGATTGCTTATTAAATAAAGAAGCGTCAATTCTTACAGAATTCAGCAACACACACACACAAAAAAAAATTAGCGAAACTTTGACAGGACCTCCTGCCATCTTTCATGGTCGATGGAATAATACCAGTACCCAAAAATTAAACCGCCTTATCCTGAATTTATCGAGTTTGCATTTGAACCCAAGTTATCTTTGAGATGAGTATGATTGAATTGGGACGCCATGCTTGTCCTTTCGTGCCACTACATCACACTGTTTGGCAACAGTGTATATGTGCTTGTAGCAATATAAGCTGTATAATGGTGTTACAAATATCTCATATACTAAATTTTTCAGAAGAAAAATATTCTCGTTATTTGAGTTTTCTGGTTAGTTGAATGCCAGATAGTTGACCTTTAATTGTATGTAACTGCTTGATAATATATGATTAATTATTTAACTATAAATAATTATTGTTTTAATGGAATATGGAAATTATTAATAATTTGTAATTTTATAATTTTTTATTGATGAAATTACCTCATATATTTGTGTGAATATCATCTACAGTGTCTGCTATCTTGTTGATATTTATTTTTAAGGAAGAAAATTATTCCTGAGAGAGGTGAAATCTACACTGTGGATGACAGTGAAAATGATATTAAAAATAGTTTGTATTCTTAATGATAATGCATAAAACTTTTAGACAATGACCTTCATATTTCCTCTCTTGTAAATGTGTTTAGAAATGCAGTATTCTTTTGGAATTACAGTATGCAAGAATGAATTCTGAGATTTCATCCATTTCTGAATGTCATTAATTAATGTATTGGTGTAATGGGTACATTATTATTATTTATTTTAAAAATTGAAACTAAAGGTTGATCTTTTGCGAAATGTGATAATAAAATTCATTGACTTGCTGAATTGTGCATGAGGTTGCATGGTTTTCCTCATATATATTTTAAATGCTGACAGTTTTCTTTTAACTAAACTAAACTCAGTGACACCAACAGATTTCGGGGTAATGCAGTAACCTGCATTGCCCCGCCCCGAAATCTGGTTTCTTGATCGTAGGCCCCAGGGTGTGTAAGCGTATGCCCTGAACAAGTGGCCAGCTTGTCGCAGGAACCCAGTGTTTAGTCCCCAAGTGAACTTGGTACTTATTTTATCAACCCAAGGGATGAAATGCTGAGTCAACTCTGCTCAGCCCGGAGTTCGAACCCTGGAACTGTGGTGCTGCTGCACGATGTGCTAGCCACTGCACCACTGGGCCTCAGTTTTCTTTTAGAAGATTAGAAGAAGGCTATTATCCTTTAAATGTTTTGCTATGATAATGTAACATGGGTAGCTGAGTTATGCAAAGAACGAAATCAGGTGATAAAGGAAATCAAAAAATTCTTTAAGAAATAAGGCAAATAAATATTAGATAAAATATCCTATTAAGCATAATCAAAATGAGCTCCCTTTTGTGTTATTATTTGCATTATAAAATAAAAATAGGAGTATATATTTTATCTAAAATAAAATTTATTTTCATTAAAAGTTTTTATTCAGTCCTTGGAGTTGCTCTTCTCTGTGTTGGTATCAGATATGTTTGGTCATCCTACAGAGAATGAATTTAAACATGTATCATTCTATTTTCCTTGAAAAGTAGTTTAAATGAATTTTTTATTATAAGTTTTCATATTTTAGTTGATTTTTTGTAAATGGAAATTGATTTTATTTATTATAAATTAAGTTATTTTTAAATATTTTTAGATATCAGCATCAGAAACTTTGATGGATTCTGCCACAATGGCATTTCCTGAAAAATATGGATCAAAGGATCGAACTTTTGCAGTCAACTTCACCTGTCAGCGTTGCTGTCAACCACTGAAATTGCATTCTTCTTTTACAGAATTAGATGATCAAACTTTATCTGAATTATCACTTCCTTTGTATCCAAATACTGATGGAGATGAAAATGAATTGATTAAAGCATATCAACAACAGTGTGATGAGAGTAGTGTAATGAGAAAAATTGTTATGCCAATAAATTGTGCAGATGCAACGAGTGATTTTATGGTTGTTGGTGAGCTGACTAGTTTGCCATTGGACAGTTGCCAGTCTTTGAAAGTTACTGCTGCTCTTTTCAACATTATGTCTAGTCAGTCGGATGTTGACCATCCATTATGCGAAGAGTGTACAGATACTTTACTTGATCAAATGGACCAGCAACTGAGGATTGCTGAAGATGAATGCAAAGAGTATCGAGATTTTCTGGAACATCTGGAAATGGGTAGCGATGAAGATGATTTAGAAAAACTACAGAATGATCTCATGAAACTTAAAGAAGAGGAAGAACAACTTGAAGCTCAGTTGTGTGAAATGGAAACAAAAGAAAAAGAATTAAGAAGAATTTTAAAAGAATGGGAAGATGAAAATGATGCATTACAAAGAGAAGAGGATAAGCGATGGCAAGATTATTGTCGTATAAAAAGGCAGCTATTAATATCTGAAGATGATCAGCGTAGTGTTAATAATCAATTGAAATATGCCCAAGCACAACTTGATAAACTGACAAAAACAAATGTTTTCAATGCAACTTTTCATATTTGGCATAGTGGCCATTTTGGAACAATAAATAATTTTAGACTAGGAAGACTACCTAATGTACCCGTTGATTGGCCAGAAATCAATGCTGCATGGGGCCAAACAGTACTATTGCTCCATTCATTAGCAAAAAAAATTAATCTTACTTTTGAGAGATTTCGTTTAGTACCTTATGGTAATTTGTCTTACCTAGAATCTTTAGAATCCAAATCCAAGGATTTGCCACTTTATTGTCATGGGGGAATAAGATACATGCTAGATAATAAATTTGATCAAGCAATGGTTGCATTTCTTGATTGTTTGCAGCAATTTAAAGAGAAAGTTGAAAGTGGCGATGCATCTTTTCATTTACCTTACAAAATGGATAAAGGTAAAATAGAGGATAAAAGTACAGGAAAATCATATTCAATTAAAATTCAGTTCAATTCAGAAGAACAATGGACAAAGGCTCTAAAATTTATGCTAACTAATTTAAAATGGGCCTTAGCTTGGGTGTCTACCCAGTTTCAAAATAATGCACCTAGTCGTTTTTGATTCTTGATGGGTATTTATGAATTCCATAACAGCATATTCTGAATTCACCTGAAGCGGGTATTTGTGTTTTTCATTTTGATAAATTTAGAAAAGCATAAAGAGTGTGTGATGAAACTGACTATTTTCATTTCCCTATTTCTTTGTATTATATGAAATAATTTACATTTTCATTGTTCATAAAAGCTTTCAATAGTAGAGAAATTTTTTCTGTGATGTGGTTTATTTTATTGAACTATATAGCATTTAAATATGTTATGTAATTTATTATGACTTACAAAACTGTTGTGAGTGATTGCATAGAGCTTGTGAAAATTATAAATAAATGTATATTTAATACAAATCTTGAACACAGTAAGATTCTTTTCCCAGATTGATATCAAAACCAGCTGGAACAAGTGAGTCAGGTCCACACATAACAATTTGTTTCTCTGGATTTCTGAAATGGAAGATTTTTTTAATAATAATAAAATGGGAACATGCATTTTGTAACAGTAGTTTAAGTACTTATGAATAAATAAGCTATTCAAGGAAGGGAATTGAAATCTGTTTTAAGACAAAAATATTAAATTTTCAGTAATTGGTAATATTAATTGTAAAAGATCTAAAATGCATTTATTTTAAGATATGTCTATAAAGTAGTGCTTTATTCAAATAAGTTATAAATAAATAAATATAAATTTTAATGTAGTACAAAAATGAAAATGAATATAATAGTTCATACTACATGAGATATTTGTATTGTTAGAAACATACAAATGTAGGACAATACTAAAATCATTATTATTGACCTGTCAACGTACAATTTTATGTTTCTAATATCACAAAAACATTGTGTAGTGTGAAACTATATTTGCTTAATATTGTGTCATTTTTTATCTACTCTAAAATTTATTTTATATTGCAACTTATAGAGCATATTGTTTTCTTCAGCATCTTCATTCACTTCCATTTTGTTATATATGTATATGTTTATATGATCAAGAGTTTAGAAATTCCAGAATTAAAATTATTAAAAGTGGTGCAATATGCTACAAAATTAATTAGATAATTAAATTAATACTGATGGCTAATTAACAGGAAGAATTTAAATTTAAATTGGATCAGAAACAAAACGATATATTAAAAACATAATAACAAAAAGTTGAAAAGTCTTTGGTCTTTTCAAGGAGCAGCCGAAAATTTTTCAACTGAGCCACGTTTCTGAAATATATCTGGATGATGTATACAAATCATGAAAAAAATTAAAAAGTGCTAAAAATAATTTTAAAGTTTGCACATTTGCTATAAATGCACATTTGCTCCAATTGTCGGGACTAGGCCATCAACATTCTCTGGTATGGGAGAGAGGCTTGGCAATCTAGCTAGCCAAGGAAGGGTTTGACAAGCTGTAAGACAGCTCATAGCAACACGTTTCACATGTGGTCTGGCATTATCTTGCTGAAAAATAAGGCCAGGCTACTGCAAAAGTAATGGTAGAAAAACAGGTCTCAGAATGTCGTCGACGTGCCACTGTGCTGTACGTGTGCCTCTATAGATGACCAAACAGGTCTGGCTCTCAAGAGAAATGGCACCCCAGACCATAACTTCTGGCTGAGGGCCTGTGTGGTATGAGTAGTGAAAGCAGGATCGGCACGCTGCTCTGGCATCTCTAGACACGTATTCAATGATCATCACGACACAGTTAGAAGCGGAATTCGTAGCATAAGTCTATACATCCCCAGTCAGCATCATTCCAACCTGATCGAGTCAAGCATCGCTGTAATCTGGCTCGACAGTGTGCAGGCGTGAGTGGCAGGTGGCTTAGCAGTCGGTACGAGTGTAGATTTCGCAGTATTGGTCATCTGTGAATGGCCGTGGGAAACACTTGTGTGCATGTCGCACATCTCATGGTTGATAGCGATGAATCAGGCGCTATGACAGCTGATCTGATAATCACTCTGTTCATAGCAACACGTTGTTCTCAATATGTTGTGGCCCTAGGTGGATCGCTGCCACCATGACGCTAAAATCTGCCATTATCCACCCATTCTTGCCAGCATCTTCTAATCGTCGCATTGCTTTGACTCGTATAACGCACGATTCTGTGATTTGCCCAGCCTGCCTCTTTCAATCCAATGATACAACCTCATCCAAACTCTGACAGTTGCTCATAATGAGCTCGAAGCCTGCGGCGAGGCATTTTTTCAGTCGTTAAAAGGTATCCAAAATTGCAATGCAGCAGAAATTTTTAACAATTCAAGAACAGCTCCTTATACATGTGCTGGATGCACAGGAAATCTCACTATTCATTCATTGGACACCAAATTTTAATCATTTGTATATTTGGTTAAATCATTTGTGCATACAAAATTTAAAAGCAATCGAATGATTCCTTCTTGGTGCGTCGATTTTTTGTTATAGATTATATATATGTAAAAAGAAGAGTCTGTCTGTGTTTCTTTCTTTCATGCTGCACGTAATCTAATAGACCAGTACTACGAAATTTGGTACATCTAGAAAAGAGACAGTGCACCTCAAAGCAATTTTTTCAAAATTTGAATCCATTTTTTTAATTTTATGTTTTTTGATGAAATCCCATCAAAATCAATAATTCTCTATCATTATATCCTTAACAATGGCATGTAGCCATTGTTGCTGATATGTCACTGTTGCCACTCAGAATAATGAGTGCAATAATTCTGTGCATAGTGGTTGCTACATCATAAACATTATTTTTCTGGTTTAAGAATAACTTTGTGGTTCTAAATTTAAAAGAAAACAATTTATCATTCACTTTTTAAAGATGTTCTTTTTAAAAAACATCATTCTTATTTTTGTTTCTACTGTTGCCACTCTCAGTCTACATAAAGTTGTACAAAAGAAAAGATTATATATGATTTGTAGATGTTACATTTGTATTAAGGAATATTGCTTATTTCATTCTAATTTTTTATATGTAATACATTTTTATTGAAATTTGGGTTTGGGAGGGGGGCATAAAGTTGTTCTGCGGAGTAAAATTCTTTGCATTTTTTAAATTTATTGTCTGGTGTTCCCTATATGCATTTTTCTGGTACATTTAAAAGCCAGGTTAAACAGGCAATTAACCTAAATGTAGTTATATTAATAAAATATTTTGAGATATATTATATTTCTTTGTATATTTTCCTCCTAGAGCACTGGGTCCTGAAAACTTTTTTCCATAATTTTTCCCTTTCTGTATTGTACATAGTTTTTCTATCTGAGGGCTAGTTTATTGGTAAATTGATGATTACTTTTATTCAGTATATTCAATTTGTGTTTGCATTTTTGTATTAGCAATTCATTCATTTATTTTCCCTTGCATTTGTTACTTGAAACATATTTTATGCAGATTCTTCATTAACTTCTTTGACATGGTAGGTATTTTCACATTTAGGAAACTTTCCAAATACATGATTTTACCTTGCTTCTATCATGTTCCAGCTGATGTAGCCTTATCGTCTGCTAATGTGTTTGATCTTTCTAAATCCAGGTCATTTATTTGCCTCTCTTTTTCCCCTTCAATGTTCCCTCTTGTGAACTGCACTAAAGACTGATTCATGTGTGGTGTCCCTGGGTCTTTACGAGATTATTGAGCCTGACATATCATGCACAGTGCAACATGTCCAGGTCAGCTACTGTCGGACATCGGCTCGGTAACCGTCAGATATTCTAATGTTAATACTACCATGTATTCTTATTGGAATGTAAGTTTCTTTTAAAGATGTATTATTGTTGATAGTTTAGTTTATCTATGACTACTATTCATTTGTTACATTCTTACTGTAATTGCATTCTTCAGGAATTAAACCACTTGCATAATTTTCCCCTCTGGATTTTTGGGCATTAAAAAGGGAGAAATATAGTAATACAATAAGCAGTAAACCCAAAGTTTGAGTAATAGACTTTTTTCAATTAATTAAGTAATAAAATGAATGCAGTAGGAAAAGAAAAAGTTGTAGCATTAGTTGTTCTTTACATCCATTGGAATCTTGCTGCACGAGACTGTAAAGAAATGAGATAGGATGGGTTGAATTGAGTTGAGTTATAGGACTGTAGTTTGATAAAATAGAAATTAAAAATGCAAGAATTGAGTTTTGTAGATATTGCTTTTCAAAGTAAAATTGGTGGAGAGTGTAACTGCTGTAATTAAAATTATCAATTTTGTAACAGAAATTAAGTTACTTAATAATTAAAAATATTTTTTCTTTTTTTCTTTTTTCTTCCTTTTATTAATTTACTTATTTATTATTATTATTATTAGATTCATTAAAAAATTTTGATGCTCTAATGAGTAGAATGGAAAAAGAAGAAACTGTATGTCTATTATGAATAGTATTGGATTGTAATAATTTAAAATGAAAAGTAATTTGCATGTAATGGGGAACAGAGAAAGTTGTGAAAAGGATATAAGCAAGCAAGAATAAAATTTCTACATCTATTTGGCTGATAATAGAACTTGAATAGAAATATCCATTTGTTTAAAATTGACTATTTACATATTTAGATTGATATTTAAATTTGTTATATATCCACTAAGTACCTCTAAATTTGTTATTTAATTTTATTAAGTTTTTGTTATGTTGTTTTATTTTTTTATTCAATTTTAATTTGTATTCTTTCTGTTTGTTAGTTAGCCACCAGTATTGATGTAATTATTATATCTTGATTATCTCACACACACACACAATATATATATATATATATATATATTGCAGTACTAATTGCAAATGTTAAAATTTGTGTTACAGATCATTAAACAATTAAATTTTCAATAAAAGTGTAGAATTAGTAAAAGCAAAATCACATAAAGGTCAATAAAATTATCATTAAATGGTTGATAAATAACATTAAGCAACTAACCATTACAATCCTGTATAAAAAAATATAATCATGAAATTAATACAAAAAAAAAAGCATTGCTGATTCCATTGGGTGAAAAAAAATTAGATGTGAAATTAGAGACTCAAAATCCAGTCCATTATGATCACATTGTAAGAATGCTATTCGAATGAAATTGGAATAATTAGCTAAGTTAGGTAATTTTAGTGGCTCTCAAATGTATTGATGCAAGTACTTGAAGTGAAACTTTTCTCAGATTATAAATCACAAGTAGAGATGATGATGGTTTTCCATTATATTACCATATGACTGTTGATAATGTTCAATTCTAGTTATTTATTTATGTTGTTAGAAATATTGGTTAGTTTCAGAGACAGTTCCCATAAAAGGTTTTTCTGTGTTTAAAATTAGCCCACCAGTGGCCGAGCGGTAAAGACGCTGAACACTGGTAGTTCAGTCCGAGGTTTGAATCCCGCGAACGGGCTGGCTGCATGGGCATGGGCGTTTTCCCCATGTGTAACGTGTATACGAGCAGTTTCCCTTAGAAAGACCTCCACAAAGGCATCCATCCCTTTAGGCAGATAGCCCTCGTGTGCTTTGCCATAAT